CCTTCAAAAAGCTCATGCCTATTCCAGAACAGATTAAAATTCTCAATGAAGGCAAGTCCTCTGCGTGAACATTCGTTGAGTAGGAAAGTATTTAGCTGATACAGACGACTGAATTTCATTTGCTTCCCGTCCACATTTGGTAGTGGGCCACTGATAACGATAGTTGCGTCCATTTTAGCAAGGTCGTCCAATAAGAGAGAGTAATCCCGTTTCAACTTTTCACTTGTGTTGTCATAGACGTCTACTGCCCCCACGTGGATCAACAATCTTTTTACCCCGCCGGTCTCAGACAGAAGCCTCGGAGCCAGCCGCCTTATCTCATCCACTTTGGCAGAGTGTACTGAGTGAACCTTGAGATTACGCATGTTTACGTGTCTTATCGCCGAATCGCCGATAAAGAGCGACTCAGCTGCATTTGACCTTGACTGAGACTGAGACTGGGACTGAGAGACTACTGCTGATTCATCTTCCAAAAGTGGGGAAAAGCGGTTTCTTGTAATTAAAGATTGTTGCTGTGGCATTATGACACTCTTGTTATCATTAGCTTTGCCTTGTTTGGGCTTGGCACCATATGTGTTCCAACAATTGTCTCTGTTGATTTTGGGAAATGAAATAGCGTCATCATAACTTACGTTTTGTCCATTTGGTCCATTTCCCTTCACTGGTATTGTTGTGTTCAGCCCCAATTCTGATTCAAGCACAAACATTCGGTCTTGAAGAAGTTTTAGCTCCTGTTTGAGTGAAAAACAGCCGTCGCAAAGTTTTGTTCTGTTTTCCCGTCCTCCTGACATGCTGTAAGTTAGGTAAATTCCACAAGTCTTGTGTTGAAGTTTGTAAAAAGGAGTAATCCGTGTTTTGTGGAATAAAAATGTAAGCAAAAATGATTAAAGGAGATAAAAAAGCAGCAAGCGAGGGAGGAGCAGCAAGAGAATGCTCTGGTTACACAGCGAAACAGCCATCTGAAAGAAAGTCTCATCCTCTCCGCGCTTCCCGGTTCTGTCATGCTATGGTCACGCCATCCACATGCAAAAGTGCGATCTTGTTCCATATTGTGAGACGCTAGCTCCGAAGCTAACATCAGCACAGATCACAGGCTGCGGGGGAGGGGGCTAGTGGGGGGCGAAAGCTCCGTGGGTGCGGGGAGGGCGAGTAGAGAGAGGGAGCGCATCGCTCGAGTTTGACATTTTCTCCAAAGTCAGTTAGTGCAGCTTTAAAGCTGCACTAACTGACTTTGGGATTTTGAAGCCGCGAACTCGCTGGCCTCTCTCTTTCTGCTCCCCTCCCCGCACCCACGAAGCTATCGCCCCCCACACACACCCACTGTTGGGACGAAGCTAGCATCTCCCAATATGGATAATACATGGATATGGATTTGCACGTGGATGGCGTGACCATAGAACGATAGAACCGGGAAGCGCGGAGGAACGAGACTTTCTTTTGGATGGCTGTCTCGCTGTGTAAGCAGTAACCGGTGACGAAGACACACAAAGCTTCAGGTTAGCTCCTCGGCTTGTTGTGCTAGCTCAGCCGTCTATGCTAACGGACCTGTAGATTTCTCACGAAAGTGGGGGCTAGTGGTCCGCTGTGATTGGTCACAATCAGAGACCCGAAACACATTCTCTTCCTTGTTTCATCAAAACTCGATCTAAAATATAATGTCACGCCAGCACAAATCTGCGCTACTTTTTCTTCAAAAGGACGTATATCCCAATGCCCTACACGGACATGGATAGCATTTTAGTAATTAATACAAAAATAAAGTCAGTTAGTGCAGCTTTAAAGACCTTATGCCGGGTTTTAAAACAAAAAATTGTGGATATCAAAATTGCATGACAATGTCGATCTGAAATAGATTCTGGCAAAAAAATTCCTATGTTTTATAAAAAGAACATGTTTTTCATGAATTTAAGTTGTCTATGCTCTAACCTGTGTGTGACGTCATAGCGGGTAACGCTAAGCTAACGTCCTCCCTGTGCTACTGTGCTTTATCTCGTATAATCTGCAGTATTCACGTGTTGTCATTCTGTTTTGTGCTTGTATTTAAGTTGTCGTGTGTATATTTGTATGAGAATCCCTTTCCATAAGTGTGGAGATTACCAACGAGTAATGAGTGACTGGAGTATTCTCATCTGGACCTGGCCTGGACCTGGTCCGGACCTGGTCTGGACCTGGTCCGGACCTGGTCTCACACATACGTACTTTTGACTTTGTAAACTGTTGGTTTTGCACTTTACTTTTGTTTTCAATAAATCTGTGATTATATCAAGACTGTGTTTCATTCATTTATTATTATTGTAGCTGAGGTTTGGGTATCGATTGTTTGTCTGGTCTTGGAGTCTGCTGTAGTCCAGACCCGAGTCCGGACTAGCCTAGCCTAGCCTAGCTTAGCTTAGCCTAGCCGCTAACTCGCTACCCCTATGGCTGCCGCCGTCTCTCCCTCGGTCCTTTACTGCTCGAGTGGCCATACGACGAGTTTAAACCCTGGATCCTCCTCTGAGGGCAGTGATAGATGTGTTAAGTGTAGTATTGTAGTAGCTTTGGAATCCAGGGTTAGTGAGTGAGCAGAGTCTCGAGCTAGCGCTGGCATTAGCTATAGCCAGGCAGTATCCTCGGACATGCAGCCCTCCTCCTCTGCTACACAGGCTGCTGTTGCTACAGGTCCATTCAGATTGTACAGAGCAGTCAGCACCATTGACTTCACAGTGTCCGAGTCATTCTTTTAAGACTAAGCATTTTCAAAAACTACTCGTGCTGTGCTGAGTTTTCTATTAAACACTTGCTCTGGTATTATAATAAATCCATGCACCGCACCAGTACTAGTTACGCGTCACACGTAAATGACGTGGTCTGACAACGCTGAGGACATACTGGAGGTACTATTTTTGATGGAAAAGCACGCGAACTGGGCCATGGCGCGCCGTGTAGAGTCAAAACGTACCGTACTAGGACTGTGGAAAAGCGGCATTAGAAACTTTTACACGACAAGAACATTAGTTTTTCACTGAACTACCCAGCTGTGCTCGTGGTGAAGACTGCGCAGGGACCCATGCGTTTTGAAGACCATAAGACACAGAGGGCCATGTCGTTTATCCACTCGCTGAACTGAGTGACTCTGCTCGCGATGACACACGGACTCTTCGCTAGGCACTTCTGTCAAGGTTTGTTACTAAGATGCAGAGAGGACTTTTAGAGGTGAGGGGAAATATTCACCATTTTTTGTTGTTTTTCACAACTGTTGTCTTGATAAATGCAAAGCTCTTTGTTGCAGCTAAAGTTCTAACATGTTATAATTTTTTTTTTATCACTTGATAATACTTCGTTGCCAACCCACTAATGTGAGTGTATGTTCGCGGACCTTAGGGTGCTTTCACACCTGTTGGTCCAGTAAAGTGGTTCGCTTGGGCCCTAAAGTTGTTACAATGTTGCAGTTCTCAACTAGTTTGGTTCTCATTCACACCAGTGTTTTTGCAAATGAACCAACCTGTGGATGTTACATATTCTGCCCATGTGGTGGCGCTGTTCACAAAATACTGTGTATTGGATGACGTATGTGACTGTGCTACTCTGCGTTTTTTGGCTATTTTTTATCATCGTTGCTTTGTGCCGCACAAATGCTGTTGTTCCAGTTTGTATCGCGGATTCAGCACGAGAACAATCTGTGGGTGTTTTTGACGATTCTATCATATAAAAAAACAATGTGTGTGTCAAAACGTGAGCTACGCAACAGAGCAGGGCCATATTGAGGCCGGTCTGCGTTCTCACCAGCAGCAAACCAGACTGGAGTCCACATGGAACCGCACCGAGACCAGCTCCATATGGTGGTCTCGGTACGGTTCTTTAGTCCGGACCAAATTTAACTGGTCCACTTTCACACCTGCTCAAACGAACCGTACTTGCAGGTGTTCCAGACTCCAGTCCGCTTTAAGTGGACTAAATGGTGCAGGTGTGAAAGCACCCTTAGTAAGGGAGGTTTTGGGGGAGAAGGGGGGGATGGGTTCACTTTGTTCCATGTTATTTTTTATTTAGTTTAGTTATATTTTCATTTTTTTCTTTTGATGCCAATACATTTAAATTCACAGCACCACTTGGAGTTTGCATGTTCTCCCCGTGTCTGCGTAGGTTTCCTCCGGGTACTCCGGTTTCCCCTACCACTAAAAATATTTACAATAGTTCTGGCATGCGCCTCCTGTACTGGCGACCTCGCTCCCATCTCTGTGTGGAGTGAGAGACTAATGCCCAAATATTAACAATTGTAAACCGCTTTGAGACTCAGATCTGCAGTGAAAAGGCGGTGTTCTGTTATGCATAATTAGTATTGTTTATTAGTTTAAAACGTGTATTTGCTCCTGCCTTAATTTCGCTAGTTTATAGTGCCATCTGGTGGACAAAGAATTCTAGTGCACTTGTTACATTTGAATGAAACTTTATTGAACTGTGTACAACAAAACCAGAAAGAAAGATGGCAACACGTAGTTCCAGCTGTCGTTTTGAGATCGCAAATATTTTGAGGTTGCATCGCTGGTATGTATTTTTTCACATGTTTAAGACAAGTATATGTTTGTTGTACTTCTAGAGATTAGTTAAAACCGTGTATATCATTGTTTTGCTCACTTTATTTGTACAACGTAGCTTTCAAAATGGCGTCCCGTTCGTATCTTTTTACAAACTTGAGTGGACATGTACATGTCTTTTATTTACTGTGATGTGAATTATTTGTATTATCATAGGCATATAGTAATTGTATATTGTCTATCCTTTTAGTTTCACCTTTTCGAGCATCATTAAACCTGCTTAAAGACACATGTATGCAGAGTCTTTGATGTGAGAGAGGAGTTAATCGCCATAGCTGTCAGCAGCAGCACAGTGAAACAGCGTCATCCACGTGGAGATTCTGCGGTCATCCTCCTGCGATTAGAGTGAATCTACGCTGACCACTACTACGCCTCATACAGCACGGCATACAGTAGCGATCTAGCAGTCGTCACCTAGTCAACGCAGCTATGGCCGACACAGCAGAACCGGAAAAGTTGTCGTCAACGGACAACACATCAACCAACGTGCCATCCGTCAAGGCTCCCTCCAACAAAGCTACATCCACAAAAGCTAAAAACAGCAAGTCTTCAACCTACAAGACCCGATCTGAAGCTGGGTCCACAGGTTCTGCAGCAGCAAATGCTAGGGCAAAAGCTGAGGCAGCAAAGGCTCGTCTCAACTTTGCAGAGAAAGAAATGCGTCTGAAAATAGAAAAGGCTAAGCTTGAAGCCTCCATTGAGCTATTACAGCAAGAAAAAGAAGTAGCTTCAGCCATAGCAGAAGCAGAGGCATTAGAAGCAGCAGCCGGCTCACAGTCCGATGCCCAAAGTGATCTTACTCTTTCCGAAGCAGCTAAAAATACAAAACAATATGTCATTGACCAAGCAGAATTTGTTGAAAGTTATCCATCTAAACAAATCTTCAGCAACGACCACAACGTACAGCTTAAACAGGAACACACAAGAGATGAGGCTTTACACCCAAAGGAAGTAAATACTAAATATTTCCCACATGTTTTTCATGAAAATGCAAATTTTTCCCAGCAGGTCCAAACAAGTGACAACTCTCGTCCTTACAAACCGGACACTACCAGTTTTTCCCACAAGGTGTCACTGTCAGCTCACTACATTCCTCATCAAGAGCGCAATGAGAACAATGTAAGTGACTTTATCAGATACTTTGCTCGCAGGGAAATAGTGGCGACTGGACTTCTTCAGTTTAATGATAAACCACAAAATTACAGAGCATGGAAATGCTCCTTTTACAATGCAATTAAAGGGCTAGACTTGACAGCTAGTGAAGAAATGGACTTGATGTTAAAATGGCTCGGCAAAGAGTCTGTTGAACATGCTGAGCAAATCAGAGCCATACACATAAATAAACCTGCTGCAGGTCTAGAAATGATATGGAATAGACTTGACCAATGTTACGGCTCAGCTGAGGTTATTGAGGACGCTCTCTTTAAACGAGTGGACTCATTTCCAAAAATCACTTCTAAAGACTATACAAAATTAAGAAAGTTCAGTGACTTACTGATGGAAATGCAGTGCGCTAAAGCCGATGGAGACCTTCCGGGCCTCGCATTTCTAGACACAGCAAGAGGTGTAAATCCTATCATCCAAAAGCTCCCGTATAATCTACAGGAAAAATGGATAACAGTTGGGACAAATTACAAATGTCGTCATGGTGTCACATATCCACCATTTAACATTTTTGTGAACTTTGTCGCACAGGAAGCTAGCGCAAGGAATGATCCTAGCTTTCAGTTCAACTCACATCCTGATGCAATCTCCAAGCCAGACAAACCTCTGTGGAGAACGAACAGACAAAAAGAAATATCAGTGCACAAAACAGACATTGATCCAGGCTCCTACGAACAAGCGTATGCAAACAAAAGAGTAGATAGTGAGAAACTCTGCCCGCTTCACAAAAAACCTCATCCTTTAACTAAGTGCAGAACGTTTCGCATGAAACCGCTGGAAGAAAGAAAAGTGTTTCTAAAAGAAAACAATATTTGCTTCAAATGCTGTGGCTCATCCAAACACATTGCAAAGGACTGCAAAGTCAAACTGCAGTGTTCAGAATGTGGCAATGAGAAACATTGCACTGCACTTCATCCTGGCCCAGCCCCGTGGCAGACAGAACCAGAGCCAAAAATTGGACCAGCGACAGAGCACGGCGGGGAGCCAGACAACACACAGCCGGATGACATCACTTCCAAGTGCACCCAGGTTTGTGGAGAACACGAGACAGGTAGATCATGCTCTAAAATTTGTCTTGTGAAAGTTTACCCTGCAGGCTCACCAAACAAAGCAGTGCATCTCTATGCTATTCATGACGAGCAGAGCAACAGATCATTGGTCCGCCCAGAGTTTTTTGAGATATTTAATGACTGTGGCCCTAGTTCACCATATTCGCTCAGAACATGTGCAGGTGTTAAAGAGACTATGGGTAGGAGAGCTGCCGGTTACGTTGTAGAAGCATTAGATGGAACAGTCCAAATTCCTCTGCCAAGCCTTATTGAATGCAAAAACATTCCGAATGATAGAGATGAGATTCCAACTCCAAGTGCAGCTCTACATCACAGCCACCTAAAGTCAGTTGCTCATCTTATCCCTGACCTGGACTCTAACGCACAAATACTTATGCTCTTTGGACGGGACATTGTAAGAGTGCACAAAGTCCGCAAGCAGATAAGTGGCCCTCACAACGCACCTTACGCACAAAAGTTAGACTTGGGGTGGGTCATAGTTGGAAACGTTTGCCTGGGAGACGTTCACAAAACCTTAGCAATCAAAATTCTCTTCACTAACGCAACAGAGAAAGGCCGCCCCACATTGTTTGAGCCGTGCCCAAATGTATTCAATGTGAAAGAAAAACATTGTGACATTCAAATCCCTTACAAGTCCAACATGCAGCTCTGTGACAGCGGCACATGCGAGCCAGACCACTTAGGATGTAATGTGTTCAAACAAACCCGACTTGACAATTACATCTCACCCTCCATTCAAGATCAAACATTTTTGAAAATAATGGAGGAAGAGCTAACAAAAGACAAAAATGGTGATTGGACAGCTCCTTTACCATTCAAAACACAATGTCAAAAACTGGCCACAAGCACTGAATCGTCTCATGTCACTTGTCCGCAGCTTTCAAAAGAAAGAAGAAATGAAAGAGCATTTCATAAGCTTCATGGACAGAATTTTCTAAAATGGACATGCAGAAATGGCTCCTCTCGTGGAAGATGGAGAAGAATGTTGGTATTTGCCACTGTTTGGCGTATACCACCCGCGAAAGCCTCAGCAGATAAGAGTAGTCTTTGACAGCAGTGCCAAGCATGAAGGTGTGTCCTAAACGCTGTGTTGTTAACTGGACCAGACCTTAACAACTCACTCCTTGGAGTTCTAATGCGCTTCAGGAAAGAAGCAGTTGCATTCACTGCAGACATTGAACAAATGTTTTACTGTTTTAAAGTCAAAGCCAAAGACCGGAACTATTTGCGCTTCTTGTGGTTTCGTGACAATGATCTTTCCAAAGACATCATAGAATACAGAATGACTGTTCATGTTTTTGGGAACAGCCCTTCTCCGGCAGTCGCTATATACGGCTTGCATCAGTCCGTGCTGCGCTGCGAGTGTGATCCAGACGTTGAACAGTTTGTCACACGCGATTTTTATGTGGATGACGGACTGAAATCACTGCCCTCTGTTGGCCAAGCGGTGTCTCTCTTACAAAGAACCCGAGACACACTTTCAAAATCAAACCTGCGACTACACAAAATCGCAACCAACAAAAAGGAAGTGTTGGAAGCTTTCCCTTCCCAAGACCATGCAAAAGACTTAAAAATCTTGACTTTGAAAAGGATTCTGTTCCCATGCAACGCAGCCTCGGCCTTCTTTGGGAAATAAAAAAGGACTGCTTCACCTTTAAGACGTCAGACGAAACTAAACCTTTCACAAGGCGAGGCATTCTGTCAACAATAAACAGCCTCTATGATCCACTAGGCCTTGTGGCGCCAGTTACTGTACAGGGGAAGTCTATTCTGACAACTGACAGTTGAGAACGGGGACTGGGATGCTCCATTGCCCCCAGAAAGAGAAGAAACCTGGACACTCTGGAAAGACTCACTCAAAGAACTGTCAAAGCTGTCAATTCCCCGAGTGTACACAGACATCTCACCTTCTGTTGCGACCAAGAAAGAACTGTGTGTTTTCTCTGACGCGTCCACTAAAGCCATAGCAGCAGTAGCCTATCTTAAAGTTACAGACACGGTAGGAAACTGTCAAGTTGGTTTTGTGATGGGTAAGGCAAAGTTAGCTCCACGCCCTGATCAGACCATATCAAGATTAGAACTTAGCGCAGCTGTGTTAGCAGTAGAGCTGGCAGATCTAATCTCAGATGAACTAGACATTGAACTAGACAACACTGCATTCTATACCGACAGTAAAGTTGTTCTAGGTTATATCTATAACGAGACACGTAGATTCTATGTCTATGTTAGCAATCGTGTTAACAGAATCCGTAGGTCCTCTCAGCCCAGTCAGTGGCAATACATAGCAAGCAGTCAGAACCCCGCAGATCACGCTACACGTTCTGTACCTGCTTATCAACTGCCCCTAACCAACTGGTTCACTGGCCCAGACATTCTGTTTGAAAATCAAAGCCTTCTCATCGACACACACAGTCTTGTTGAGCCCAGCACTGACGCAGAAGTCAGACCACAGGTATCTGCACTCAAAACCACTACCTGCTCCAAACAACTTGGCTCTCAGAGATTTACAAAGTTTTCAACTTGGAAATCACTCACTCGCGCACTTGCCCGCTTATTGCATATTGTGTACAACTTCAGTTCACGCAAACCCAAACAATGTAAAGGTTGGCACTACTGTGAAACAGGACTCACTGTAGCTGAGCTTAAACAAGCACAGGAACCTGTAATCTATGCAGTGCAACAGGATGTGTACGCAGATGAGATCAAGTGTGTTCAAAGAAAAGAAAAACTTCCTAAAACCAGCACTTTGAGAAACTTGGACCCCTTCTTAGATGAAAATGGACTTTTACGAATAGGAGGTCGCTTTGCCAACTCCAATCTGAACCAAAACGAAAAGAATCCTCTTCTTGTCCCTGCACGCCATCACGTAGCAACACTTCTTGTAAGACACTATCACGCAGAAACTCAACACCAAGGTCGTCTGTTCACAGAAGGTGCTGTGCGCGCGGCAGGTTGGTGGAATGTAGGAGGCAAAAGAAAGGTCAGCAAAGTCATTTTCAATTGCACAACTTGCAGAAGACTCCGTGCTCCTCTAAGCACACAGAAAATGTCCAACCTTCCACCAGATCGTCTTTCCACAGACCCTCCATTCACAAACGTAGGCGTAGATGTGTTTGGCCCATGGTTTGTATCCACAAAACGAACCAGAGGACATGTTATCCAAAACAAAAGATGGGCTGTTATATTTACATGTTTAAGTATAAGAGCAGTTCAACCTGGAGAGACTACAAGAGACGAGATGCGTTTAAGAGTTGTTTATTTTATGGATTGAGTTTGTTTATTGGTTTGGAGCTTAGGCCCCGGCTGTGGCCGTGCTCTGAAGAGATCTGCGCCTGGGTGCAGATCATGATCCCCCGGGGCCTAGACACTGGTGGTGGCAACAAGGCAAGGTGAATGTGAGAGTGAAGAAATCCTGAAGCGGAGGTGGGGAGGAGGTGGTTGCAGCTTGAAGCTTGACACGGCTGCGGGGGAGTTGATTAAGACAGGCTGAGTAAGGCGTGGTCAAGCCTGGTGTGATAACGTAGGTAGTCTACCATCCTGAACCTCCGCTTAAGCTCCATTTCACATCGAAGTGATTGAGTCCCTCGACACATCTAGTTTAATTAATGGACTCAGACGCTTTCTGGCCATCAGAGGACCTGTTAAAACCATTCGGTCCGACAGAGGCACAAACTTTGTCAGTGCATGTAAAGAACTTAAAATCCCCTCAAACTTGGACAATAAAGTGGTACAAATCTACTTAAAAGGACAGGAATGTACATGGACATTCAATCCACCCCACGCTTCTCACTTTGGTGGATCGTGGTAAAGGATGATCGGTCTTGCACGGAAAATACTCGACACAATGTAGGCTCCAGACAGATTTTTTTTTGTTTTTTTTGTCAAATATGGCTCTTTGAACCTTTTGAGTTGCCGATCCCTGGTATAAACAAACTGTAAAAAACGTGACAAAAACATGCCTGGGCCGGTAAGAAGGGCCGTTTTTTTGTCCCAGTCCAGCCCTGAACAGAACTCTAGTCCACAGTCTCCTGTATATCAGGCTCTGCCATGAGCCCAAACTACTTTTCCTTTGGTTTCTTCGAAGCGTGAAGCAGTCTTTTCCGAAGTGCCTCGTCCATGTCCCTGCTGCAGCCGCTCCGTGCTTCCTTCCAATACACACACACGGACCAATCACAGCGGAGCTTCCTTGCGCCGACCCTTACGTAGTTCGAAAATTTTGATGCTGCGCGGCAGGCAACGTAAGGGCCTTGCGGTGACCAACGCGTTGCGCAAGTGACGTCACGTCACCTCCGTAAGCTCCGCGCCGCGCAAGTATACACTAGGCTTAACATCTCAAGCTAACGCTACAGAAACAGGTCACTGGTGGTCAGTCATTCATGTTAGTAAAGCACTTGTGTTGTACGTATAGCATTTATTGTGTATTTAATGTTTTTTAAAGGGACAGACACTGATGTGGAGAGGCTCATCCGACTGCGGGTGAAAAACATTTTGCTTCGGTGGCTGGATGGGAGTACGACCATTATGAATGAATACTTATTCAAAAAACGTCTACTCTAATTCAAATGCTTTTATGTATCGTTACTTTAGGGCAGTAATAAAGGAAATCTGCCAGAGCGGCCAAGAAGTGGGAGAACCTGAAAAAGACCTACAAGGTTTGTTTCTTTGAAGCTTTGTGTGTAATTTGTGAAGCATATATTATACAAAACACACTGTTTTAAGGAGCTCAGACAGCCACGCACAGGGACAGAAGGAGGGGAGCCCACCGCCACATCTTGGAAGTGGTACTCCCTCATGGATGAGGCGATAGGCAGCAGGCCATCTGTGCAGCCTCCCTGTCTGATTGCCTCATCCATGGGGGAGGGCGTTTCCACATCTGTGGAACAACCCCCTGCCCCCGTACAGCCAGAGGAGGTAGAGGAAGAGGAAAGCATTGTGGCAGCCAAGAGGCCGAGGAGGGAGAGTTTAATTAGTTTTTTGGAGAAGGTGGAGAAGGAGGAAGAGGAAAGGGAGAAGCGAGAAGAGGAGAGGGGAAGAAGAGAGGAAGAGAGAGAGGAGAGACTGTTGAGTTTGTTGGAGAGAATTGTTGAGAAGTTGTAAATAGTAAATAAGAATGTATTTTGATAAGTGTTGTTTGAACTATATGCATATCGACATACAATGATGAACACTATTTACACAAAATAAATTAAATCAACAATATATACATACAATCAACAATTTCTTTTTAGATATTTACATATTCAATTGTTTGTGTTTTTATTTAATTAGGCCAAAACACAGATTATTCAAACATTGAATTAATAGTCTTGGTCCCGAAGAGCTGGCAGCCGGGCCCTTGGGGTGGAAAGTGCTGCTGCCATCCGTCCACGCAGCTCCTGTCCACACTGCTCCTGTCCACACAGCTCCTGTCCACACTGCTGATCAGGCTGGTGCTGCTGATGCTGGTCCTGCTCATCATCAGGCCCTGTCTCCTCTTCCACTGGCTCCCAGAGATCACCATCGCTGATGCAGATGTTGTACAGGATGGCGCAACAGGCAGTCACCTGGACTGCAAAGGTGGAATGGACTTCCAGTGCCTTAAAAAAAATGGATCGCCATCTTGCTTTCATCATGCCAAACGCTCTCTCTATTACAGATCGTGCCCGTGCATGGTGCCGGTTGAAGCGGGTTTCCACTGGGCTCCGAACAGGCTCTCTGTATGGAGTGAGGAGTGTGATGGGCTGACGGAGGCAAGGGTAACCACCATCACCAAGGAGGACGTGTCCATTTGGGGGATAGAGGCGGTGGACATACAGGGGACTATTTTTAAGCACCCGAGAATCTTGCACAGATACGGGGTAGCCAACAAACAAATCAATAAACAAGCCACGGTGATTACACACAGCCTGCATTTGAATAGAATAAAACAATTTCCTGTTAAAATAACACGGTGCATTTTCTTTAAGGGGCTTTATTCTGATGTGGCAGCCGTCGATGCCCCCCACAACATTATTTAAAGCAGCTGATCCAGCCAGCAACTGAAACCCAGCTGCAACTTGGGGCAGTTCCTCCAGGGAAGGGAAATGAATTATTTGGTTCTGCATTTGAAGGATCTGGTTGGCCACGCTGTGGATCACATCGTGGACCGTAGACTGGGGCATGTCAAATGCCCTGGCGACAACACGGTACGTGGTGCCACTGGCCAACCAAAAGAGGAAGACCAGAACCTCCATGTCCTGGCTCCAACCCTGGTGATGGGCGCTCCTCAGGTGGCTAACCAGACGGGTGATGGTGGTTCGAGTGAGCCGAAAATCGGGGCGAAGGTCAGACTGGCCATTTAAGTACATGCTGAGCAGGGGTACATGGTGGTTCAGTCGGCAGTACAGAGGTGCTTCAGCCTAAAACATCCATCCATCCATTTTCTACCCTTTAGTCCATTTCTGGGTCAGGGGGGTGACAATCAGAGATGCCACCCGAGTCTCATAGCACCAGCCCCTCACTGACCCTCTGCAGGTGGTGAGTCCACAGGAGGACGGCTGCTCTCTGAGTGTGAGCATAGCCTTGATCTTTCAGTGGGGGCTTTGGGCAAAGTGGGGTTAAGTGTCTTGCCCAAGGACACAACGACAGCAGTCATCAGTGGGAGTCGATGGAGAAGGTGCAGAGGTGGGAATTGAACCCACGACCTTCTGGGCTTAAGGCCAATGCTCTACCAACTGAGCTACTGTCGCCCCTATTTGCTCTTAAACTTAACATGACACTTCAAGACACATTTTTCATCCTGTCTCTGCACTTTGAGTTAAGAGTGCAGATACAGAAATAAATACAAATTTTTCATTTTGAGATTTAAAAATGTAAATAAAAATGAAGAGTATGTAGCAGAAGTCATGATCTTTTGAGCCCAGGCTTTTATTTTGCCAAATGCATTCTGTGTTGCAGGGGCTGGAGCTGCCATCTGTGTCAGAGACAGCTGAAGGAGAAAACCTCAGACTATATCGCTCACACCTACAGTGCCTTGCGAAAGTATTCGGCCCCCTTGAACCTTTCAACGTTTTGCCACATTTCAGGCTTCAAACATAAAGATATAAAATTAAATTTTTTTGTCAAGAATCAGCAACAAGTGGGACACAATCGTGAAGTGGAACAAAGTGTATTGGATAATTTAAACTTTTTTAACAAATAAAAAACTGAAAAGTGGGGCGTATTATTCGGCCCCTTTACTTTCAGTGCAGCAAACTCACTCCAGAAGTTCAGTGAGGATCTTTGAATGATCCAATGTTGTCCTAAATGACTGATGTATTGTCGACAAAAAATTAAAATTTTATATCTTTATGTTTGAAGCCTGAAATTTGGCGAAATGTTGAAAGGTTGAAGAGGGCCGAATACTTTCGCAAGGCACTGTATCTGCCCCTCCGCTGCTGCTGCAATACCAAAAAAATGTATGGCCATAGCCAAGCAGATTCATACAAAACCATCGACATGTCCCAGTTGTTCTAAATGCTTTTACTGTTTAATGACTAATTACTCTTTATTTCATTTAGAAAAATTAGGACTTATTCCATTTCCCTTGTTATTTTTTTCTGTTCTGTCAACCAATAAAGTGTTTAAATGTTCTTGCATTTTAAGTGTGTATATACAATGTGTTTTCTTGTTTAAATATGTTTAAATGTGTATGTCTAATGTGTTTCCTATTGATTGAGAAGAGTATTTTTAATTAGAAAGTACACCTAAAGTACTTTAATTTAATTGGGTTTTAGTGACGTTTTTTAGTAATTAGATCGATACATTCAGCTGAGATTGACCCAAAAGTGTCGCTGTGCTTTCTCTCTGAGGTAGAGCTTTGACTGTGGCCACTTATAGCGCTTTTCCACAGCACCGGCACTACACCACTCTACACGACACGTCACGACCCGGTCGAGTACGCGTGCTTTTCCACATATCTCCATCGGACATCTTCAAGTGGGTGGGCTTTTCATACCACGGCTACCGTTACGTCATTTCCGCTACCGTTACGCCATTTCCGCTACCGTTACGTCATTTCCGCGCGACTCACGAGCATGAAACCAGGAAAAACATTACATCCTCAAACAATGGAGGACTCCGAGACGATCGTGGTGTTGCTGCTCTCTCTGTGGCTACTAGTCACAAATAGACTGAAAAGCCTGAGAAGAATCCAGGCGGCGAGACACCAAAGAATGACGAAGTTATTGAAAACCTTGCAGGAGTTTGCAGTTGAGGACAGGAGACAACGAGCTGAAAAAAGACGACGTTTGTGGGTAAGCTAATATTGCTATCGCTAGCTTTGTAACAGCCGTCCTGAACAAAATGGCTGCTGGCTGTCTCTGTAAATCATTAAAATGTGTATGCTGTATGTGTGTGTTTCAGATGCTTCTCGGGTTGCGTCGCCGCCGCAAGCCATCGGTGTGGGCCTTAAACCGAGCCTCCGAGTGGTGGGATATTGTAGTCCCAAGCTTCAACAACACGCAGTGGGTGCAGAATTTCCGAATGTCCAAAGAAACGTTTGATTACCTCTGCACAAAGCTGCGCTTGATTATGGAGCGACAAGACACTACTTACCGGGTATGTGTGCCCCTAAAGAAGAGAGTGGCTATCGCACTCTGGAAACTTGCTACTGGTTCTGAGTACCGAAGCATTGGTCACCTTTTTGGAGTCAGTATAACAACGGTGTGCCACTGTGTGCAAGACTTTTGTGCTGCAGCAAATGCGGTGTTGGTCCCAGCGCAGATCCGTTGTCCTACTGAGGAGAAATTCAGGGAGATTGCTGCCTACAACGAGAACAGATGGGGGGTCCCACACTGTGTTGGTGCCATTGATGGATCCCACATCCCTATCATGGCTCCACAGGAATGTCATTGTGACTATTTCAACCGCAAAGGGTGGCATTCCATTATTCTCCAAGGTGTGGTTGATGGAAAGGGGTTGTTTTGGAACGTGTTTGCCGGATTGCCTGGGAGCTTGCATGATGCCAGGGTCTTGAGACTCTCTAACTTGTGGGAGTTAGCCTGCCGGGGAAGCCTCTTCCCAGCTCACACAAGAGAAATTGGTGGGGTGACTGCTGGCTATTACCTCCTAGGGGACTCCGCTTACCCCCTGCGGAACTGGCTCCTAAAACCTTTTCAGGACACCGGACGACTGACAGACGAACAGCAACTATTCAACAGAAAATTCAGCAGAGGGCGGGTGGTTCAATCAATCAATCAATCAAATTTTATTTATAAAGCGCTTTTCATACAAAAAGTGTAACACAAAGTGCTTTACAGTTTAGTTAAAAACAATCCAACATGCCCAGCCCTAAACCCTCCTCCCCACAGAACCCCCCCAAAACCACATTTATAATTATATATACAACCACATGCGTATACACACACACACACATATACACCCACACACACACACATACACACACACACAAGTATAAAGTCATATCAGGTAAAATAGGTAAAACAATAAAAAGAAATGGTGCTGGGAGCAGATGTAACCGGCTGAAGAAGCGTCATCCAAGGAGCCATCTGCACCAGGAGCAGAGAGCCGGCTGCAGCCACAGGGAACGACACAGGACCCAGAGGAGAGAGGGGCCCCAGACCCCACCAGGCCCAGGACTCAGACCCCATAGGACCCAGAGGAGAGAGGAGGCCCCAGACCCCCACCGGATCCAAGAGCCAGACCCCCGAAGCCGCAGCAGACCCCAGCTCTCAGTGCAGAGGGCTCCTCCAGAGGAAACACTGGGGACACTAAAACAATACAATAATACAATAGAAAGTAGAACAATAAAATGCGACAATAAAAAGAAAAATGGCAGCTGCCTAATATTAATAATAACAATAGTAAATGGGTAGATACAATAAATAATTAAAAATAGTAAATAATAAAAATAAATAAAAATAGAATGTGTCTAAAAACATAAATAGATGTACTAAAAAGCAATAATAAATAATAAATACTAATCAAAAGCTACTCTAAAAAGGTGCGTCTTGAGCCTACTCTTAAAAATATGAACGTTCTCTGCGGCCCTGAGCTCCTCCGGCAGACTGTTCCAGAGACGGGGGCCGTAGTGCTGGAAAGATGCCTCGCCGTGAGTGTGTGTCCTGACTTTGGGGATGGTTAGGAGTCTGCTGCCGGAGGAGCGCAGGGGCCGGGAAGGTTCATAGGATAAAAGCAAATCTGAAAGATAAGAAGGCCCAAGACCATTAAGACATTTAAAAACCATTAAAAGAACTTTAAAATCGATCCTGAAACACACGGGGAGCCAATGCAACGATTTTAAAACCGGTGTAATGTGGTCCCGCCCCCTGGTCTTAGTCAGGACACGTGCGGCCGAGTTTTGAAGTAATTGTAAACCTGAAATGTTCTTTTTGGGAAGACCAGAGAGCAGGGCATTACAGTAGTCAATGCGACTGGTGATAAAAGCATGCATCAGCGTCTCCGTGTTGCCCCGAGAGAGAATGGGGCGGACTCTGGCGATGTTCTTTAAATGATAAAAACCTATTTTTGTGATATTCTTTATGTGAGGAATAAAAGTCATCTCAGAGTCAAAGATTACGCCCAGGTTTCTCACTTGTGATGATGGATTAAAAGAGTGTGATTGGAGTTTCTCTCTCTGGGCCTCAGGACCGATGACTAAAACCTCAGTTTTGTCCTGGTTGAGCTGAAGAAAGTTTTCTGCCACCCAGGATTTCAGGTCTAAAATGCAGTTAAAAAGAGCATCCATTGGCCTGGTGTCATCAGGAGACATGGAGATGTACAGCTGTGTATCATCTGCATAACTGTGTGTGACCCGAGGTACTTAAAAATAACCAATAAAATAACTAAAGTATTAATAAAACCAAAGGACACACACAGGTAAGTTTTGTAAAAGACAGGCAGAGACAGTGCTTTTAAAATATGCAATTAAAAGTTTATTTATAACAGAATTAGGTTTAAAAAGGATGATATTTATTTATAAAAAGTAACATTCAGGTTAAAATGGCCAATATGATAAAAGTAAAGTTCAATTAAAATCTGGCAGCCCCTGGGCCAGAGCCAAACGAAATCTGAAAGCAGACCAGTCTTAAACAGAAACCAAACAAGGATGGCTTGAGAGGGGGTAGCCCCACCCCAAACAAAACAGAAAGTGCTACCCACAAACGCACTAAATAACAAAAATACCAAGTGCAAACAGAAAAATGGGCCAAATCCCCCGCCCAAGCACATCCAAGGGAAACTAAATCTAAAAGGCTAAAAGACCCAGGGACTGCTATACAAGACTGGTGCAGAGCTAAAAGGGTTTCTAAAAGCTACAAAAATGATACAACCCAAAAACGAACTCTAAACAAAACAGTAGCAGGCTAAAATCTGCAATTAAATGGAAACAAACGTTAAACTCAAATGCAATAAAATGTAAACAAAGTGCTAAAACGCTTGTCCCACCTTAAAATTGCGATAAAACGGGGGAAAATAGCCACCACCGGAGTCCTACAAAACAGCTCTAAAACCAGAGAAGTAAATTAAAAACAGATTAAAAATGCTAAAAGCGAGGGAGGGTAAAACACACCTGTCACCAGCCAGCAGCAGTCGAGACTGAGCACCAGGCACGGGGGAATATTTAAAGGGGAGGCCACTTCCTCTATTAGGCAGGAAGCGGCAACTCCTCATTTAGGAAAGAGAGCCCCCTACTGCCCGCTACAATCTGCCCCCAGTTTGTCATCGCCGTCCCGGTGATACCATGGCTAGTCCCAGGGCCTAAAATAAGCGCTCACCATACTACTGGCACTACTGACCCGGGAGGTAGCAGCCCCACCTGACCTAAGAGATGCTGTGGTAGGGAGATGGTACTGGTTCGGGTGCCGACCCGCTGTGGCCCGGGTTGTCCTCCTGGGGCCTTCTGGGAACTGATGCGGAGGCTGCCTTAAGGAACCTCCTGAGGGTTCGGAGACAGGCGGATGATTAGGCTGGAGGGGGGTACCTGCTTGTGAGGGCACAGTGGAAGTGATTGCCTCTCCAAGGGCTGGCCTGGTGACCACGTAGAAATTACCCTCTTCCTCCTCATCCTCCTCCATCTCCATCTCCATCTGGACCTCGGGAGACTGCCTGTTTGGGCTCCGAGGGCAGAGGGGGTCGGGCACAGGTTTTAACATGCCACGATGAACGGTTCTTACCCTCAGAGGGTCTCCCATGGGGGCCACCGAGTAGACTGGTCCCCCAGAACTTGGTGCTTGCACCACCACATGGATTTCTGGGCCCCACACGTCCTGGATCTTCGAGCGGCCCCGTCTGCTGTGGTCCTTGAGGTATACAAACTGTTGCTCTTGTAGATCGGTTGATCTTACCCCAGCATCATGCCGCTCCTTCCGGCGGGCCGCTGCTACTTTTAGCCGTTGTTGTGCCCCATCAAACGCTACCTGTAGTCTCTTCCGGTGCTCCTGAATCCAGTCCTCCACTCTACCCTCACTGGCCTCTGGAACACGGCCAAGGATGAAGTCGATGGGAAGATATGGTTCCTGCGCCTAAACAAAAAAATTAAAGAAAAAAATCAAAAAAAAAAAAAAATGAAAAAAAAAAAAAATATAAAAAAAAAAAATAAAAAAAAAAAAAAACGAAAAAAAAAAAAAAAAAAAAGGCCAGGCTCCTTATTTCAAGTGCACGCGTTTACACGACAACGGAAAATAATGTAGTTCTAGCACTTCTCGACAGTAGTGGGCGTGAAACGCACAGACGACATACGCAACCCAGCCGGTAGATCCACTTACCCCAAAAACATCCTCTCGGGCCGCGCAATGACTGTGAAGAATGCTCAGACATAATTTTGCATTTAACAGTAGCTGCGTGAATAGGACACGGAAATTCAGCTTGGATGGTTTTGTTGGCGAACGTCGTCCGAAGACAGACGAAGCTAGTAAGTTTGTTAAAGTAGCTGGAAGGTGTCAGACTCGGTTACACAGGGTAACTGCTTTGTGGCTTTTTGTAAATTTTCTCCTCTGTGAGATAATCAAGATCTCTTTCTTATATATCTTTTGATCCTTTAACGTTGATTCTTCCTGAAGAGAATTCACCTTTGGTATTTTTGTTCCATAATATAGAAACTTGTACAGGGTTTAGACAAGTGGGAGACCGGTTAGTTTTACTTACTGATGTGTTGTTGCAGTAGTAATCCTGTGCTGTGCAAGTGTTGCAACAAGAATTAGAGCCAATAACTTTATTCACACTTACAGAAACTTGCATGCAATCAGCTAATAAAATGTGGGTATGTGTTATATTCAGGTTACTGATGAAATATCCCATGAAGTATTAAAACAACCAAGAATATATACGTGATCATTGTTAATCTGTTTTTAATCTGTGGTCTTTTACTAGTATCAATCAATCAATCAAAGTTTATTTGTAGAGCGCATTATACCAAGGGCTACACAAAGCGCTTCACAGTCCACATACAAATCATCACATAAACAAACTCAGATCACAATTAATACCATTAAAATCACACAAAGATAAAAACACAATTAAACATTTAAAATCACACAAAAGATTAAAACACAATTAAAACATTTTATTCATCACAAATGATATAACCATTAAAAACTTTCAATAAATACACAAGAAATTAAAATAAATAAATAAATAAATGCACGCAGTGCATTAGAATGCAGATAAAAGCCTTCGTTGTTTGCACAGGAAAACAGGAACTGTCTTTAACTGATTTGGAACTATTGACAGAGAGACGCTCCCTCACATTTTCGGGAGATTGTTCAGTTCTTAGCTGCATGGATCGGAAACGTGCTCCCATGTTGGTTCTCACTCTTGGCACCTGCAGGAGGCCAGTCCTGTGCTCCTCAGAGTCGGCCGGTTCATATGACACCATCATGTCACTGGACGGTGTGTGTGGCGACCTCTGGACAGAGCAGTCGCATTCTCTTGCTGCTCCTCCCTCGCTTGCTGGCTTTTTTATCTCCTTTATTCATTTTTTGTTACATTTTTTTGTTTTTTTTTTTTTTTTTTTTTTTTTTTCCACAAAACAAGGATTACTCTTTTTACAAACTTCAACACAAGACTTGTGGATTTTACCTAACTTACAGCATGTCAGGAGCTTGTTTGAGCTGTGCGTTTTGAAGGTATAGGTGAGGGGAAAAGAACAGAAACTTTGCGGACGGGCTGTTTTCACGCAAAAGGAGCTAAACTTCTTCAAGACCGCATGTTGTGCTTGAAACAGATTTGTGGCTGAACACAAAAATACCAGTGAAGGGAAATGGACAAATGGAAATACGTAAGTTATGATGACGCTATTGCATTTCCAAATCAAACAGTGGCAATGTTGGAACACATTATGGTGCCAAGCCAAACAAGGCCAAGCTCATGATAACAAGGTGTCAGATGCCACAGCAAAAATCTTTAATTACAAGAAAACCCTTTTCCCACTTTTGGAAGATGAATCAGTCAGTTGTCTCTCAGTCCCAGTCTCAGTCTCAGTCAGGTCAAATGCAGCTAGTCGCTCTTATCGGCGATTCGCGATAAGACACGTAAAATGCGTAATTCAAGGTTCACTCAGTACACTTGCCAATGTGGATGGATAAGGCGGCTGGCTCGAGGCTTCTGTCTGAGACCGGCGGGGGTGGAATAAGATTGTTGACTCCACGGGGGGCAGTTGTGTCTATGACACACAAGTGAAAGTTGAAACGGGATTACTTCTCTTATTGTACGACCTTGCTAAAAGGACGCAATATCGTTTCTGTGGCCCATACCAATGTGGACGGAGAAGCAAATGTAATTCAGTGTCTGTATCAGCTAAAATACTTTTCCTAACTCATAAAGATTGTTCACGCTGAGGGACTTGCCTTCATGAGAATTTTTAATCTGTTCTGGATATAGGCATGAGCTTTTTGATGGATAGTCGGCCATCTGAACACTTACGGAGTAAAAGTGTGATGGATAACCTTTCTTTTGCCCTGAGACCTCAGACTGCGCAGCGCGTGCAGCCATCGAAAGGGAGGAAGCCGACTCTAAAAGTTCAGCACCTCACAACCTCGAAGGATCTCAACACTCCCCCACATGAGGATCCTCATCACCCACCACCTCATCAACGGATTCAACACCACCACCACCTCGAAGGATCTCAACACCACCACACCTCGATGGATTTCAACACCACCACCACCTCGAAGGATCTCTAACCCATCACGCTCAAAGGTTCTCATACACCTCACGGTCATCAGAAGCAGCTGCCTCATCACAGTAGAGAACCTGCAGCACGACCTCACCACCACCAACATCTTCATCCCCCTGCCTGCTCAAAGCCAGCACGCCTTCTTTTCTCAGCGCCTCTGAAGGCCCCCTTCATCACCAGGTTACAGCGACAGGCTGTGCTGGGGTTTCCTCAACACCGGCCCCTCCATCAAAGACTCCTCGCCTCCTCCATGGACCTGTCTTGGTCCCCCCTGCACGTCCACTCCATCAAGGAGAATGGGTACACGTCTTGTTTTTTCATCCCCGCCTTCACTGTTAGGTGGAGGGACATACCTGAACACTCTGCAGGCTAATAAAAATCGGCGATGATGACTATTCCGCTCTACACCCATATTAGCTAGATCTAGAGTTCTGTCCATACAGCTAACCATCCATATGTACCTCCAAAACCACCTAGGTTTCCAATTCTACTACAAAAACCACCTCAGCCAGTCCTCCCTAACCTATACATTCCACCCCATTCCCCATCGTTCAACACAAAACTCGCATCAGCCCCCGAGCCCTAATCCATCACCAAAAACCCCTCCACTCCCAGCCCCTCGTTTCAACACCCAAAAGCCACACCTCTCCATCTACCTCCCCGCCTTCCCTTCCCCCCTCTTTTCTCTAAACACTAGGATGCACAGGGTCTCTGCTTCGCAAGCCACTGGCAGTCTTGTTAGAGAGAGACGGCTGGGGCCCTGTCATGAAGACACTGTCAATTCTTAGTGATAACACAAGAATACATGACAGAAGACATCTGGTTTTAATAAGTCTAATATGGAAATCTTAATCTGTTCCGTGTAAGAATCAGCGACCTCAACGCTGATACTGAAACTTTGAAACTTGCTACGCTAATGTCAGATCTCTTTGTAACAAGTTTTTTTTAATCAAAATTTTAATTGTTCTCATAATCTTGATCTTATGTTATGGCTGCAACTTGGGTCTTGACCAAAATTCCAGGAAATGCAGTTTTAATTGATAGCATGCACCACAAAAATTTCAAGGTGTGAATCTGAAATACGGGAAAACAAATTAAGGGAGGAGGCTTAGCTGCCTTTTGCTGAGGACAACCCCTTATTGTCTCCATAGAATGGTCCCTTGGGAAGTTTTCGTCTGTGTGAATATGTGTCTTTTTAAATTACAACAAAAAACAAATCTCCTCCCAATTACTTTTCGTTTGATGTCCTATACAAGCCACCGCAGTCATTGTCACAGGTTTTTATTGATAATTTTTACCTGAAGTTGCTTTCAGTTGTATGCACAGATTTTGATAGTTTGTTATTTCAGAGTGATTTTAATATTCATGTGGATAATGTTGATGACAGAAATGCAAATGAGCTGAGTTCTGTACTTGAATCCTTTGATCTCACTAGCATCAGTAAGTGGCCCCACCCACAGCAGAGGCACATCTAGATCTGTTAGTCTTCTGTAGGGGGTGAATATTTCAAATGTGAAACGTGGTCGATGTTGCTCTTTCGGATCATTTCTGTGTTTTTTTTGACATGTGTTTCACTAACAAACACCAGTGGACTCTGCAACTGTACGGAAGAAGACACCTAAAATGAAATACGAGTGAACTATTTATGGGAATGATAAACTTTGAGAATGCATCGTATTTACTGTAGCCATGAATGTTTAACTCTGTCACCTCTAGTGTTTTGAAAGTTCTGGATTTTACCGTTGCCCTGTGAAGGGTAAAAATAGTGAAAAATAAGCAGCACGCGCCGTGGGCCTAAGCAGGGACTCGGGTCAGGGCACAAAAGAGAAAGTGCGGAGGGCGAGCGGATGTGCGCAAGTCCAACCTCCAGGTTGATTACGAGATCTTCAAAGATAAGTTGTGCGAGTTTAACCGGGTGCTACGTAGTACGAGGAGAAAAGGTATGTTTTCTGAAATGATTGAAGGCTGCGCAACAATCTGCGTGTTCTGTTTTACAGTTATAGATTAACATACCCCCGGTTTCAAATGCTTTAGAGCTTACTTCCAAACGTAAATGCATGGAAGTTTGCTATTTTTTTCAATGACAAGGTTTTCTAAGGCCTCAAAAAGCATTGTGGGGGGGGGGGCTCCGAATCCACAGATAAACATCCACAAGCCAGATAGGGCTCTCTGAGCTAACTCACTTTGCACCTGTAAATGATAAAAAACGTCCAAGAGAAATCTCCAGTTGAGCTCCTCACATGCGCTTGGATGTACTAACCACTAGATTTCTGAAGTCTGTTCTGAGCTGTCTGTTCCTTCACTCACCACAGATAGTTAAACATGTCCTTCATTCTGGAATTTTCCCAATGGCCTGAAAACTGCAGTCATCAGGGCCCTGCTAAAAAAGGAGCTGTCTCGATGCTACGGTACTTTACAAACTATCGTCCTCTCAAATTTGCCATTTATGGGAAAGTCCTGAAATAAGGTGTCTTCCTACAGCTACTAGATTTCTTATAATCAACAACTCATTTTGAATGTTTCAGTCCGGGCTTGAGACCCCATTCCACAGCACTGAGACTGCTCTCGTCCAGGTTACAACCGATATGGCTGAACACTGACGAGGCAAAGTCTCATCGTTATTTGTTAGATCTAAAGTGATGCCTTTGACACGTCGCCATGTGATCTCTTACAGAGATTAGAGGACTGGGTTGGAGTCGCTGGCACCGCCTAAGTGTTTAGGTCTTCCTTGAGGTCAGGAAGTACTTTGTGGAGATTGTGGAAACTGGGTCTCAGATCATATGGCCCTGACCTGTGGGTCCACATGGGTCGATTGGAACCTCTTATGTTCATCTCTACATGCTGCAGTTAGGTCAGTTAATACGCTGAAACAAGTTCTATCAATACTATGCAGACGACACTGATCTATGTCTCATGACTTCAGGAGAACATGGACCAGTGGACTCACTCCTTCACTGTATCCAACAGATCAGTGAGTGGATGCAAAACAACTTCTTAGCTAAACGCAGACAAAACTGAAAATGATTGTCTTTGGTCCCCAGAAACAAAGAGAGAGCGTATCTGTCACCTACAGTCTCTCTCCCTAAACCTTCAAACAAGGTCAGAAATCTAGGGGTAATACTGGACTCAGACTTAAATTTTAATAGCCCACATCAAATCAGTAACATCAGCAGCTTTTTACCATCTAAAAAACATTGCCAGGATCAAAAAACATAGTGTCTAAAGCAGATTGGAGATTCTTATCCATGCATTTGTCTCCAGTAGGTTAGACTACTGCAATGGCTGCTCACACAGGTCTGTCCAAACAGGCTGTTTTAAAACAGCTGCCAGTACATTCAAAATGCAGCAGCTCGAGTCCTGGACTAGAACCAGGAAGTACGACACATATTAGTCCGGTCCTCAGGTCTCTGCTCTGGCTTCCTGTGGTCTCAAGGAATAGACTTTTAAAACAGCTCTGCTTGTGTACAAGTCTCTCCATGGCCTCGCACCAAAATATATTAGTGACTTGTTGAGTCCCATTATGAACCAAGCCCGGACTTGAGGAGCACAGGACTGGGACTCCTGTTAGTGCCCAGAGTCAGCAATAAACAATGGGGAGGCTTGCTTTCAGATTCATGCTAGCTATAAATTCTGGAACAGGTTCTTCCTGGAGAATGTGAGACAGGCTCTCTCTCTGACAATGTTTAAAACCAGGTTTAAAGACACGTTCTGTTTAGCTGGCATACAAACTGAGGGATTTTATATTTGTATCTTTCTTTTTAATGTTTCTGTGAGTTAATTATGATTTTATTGCTTTCGTGTTCTTGTTCAGCACTTTGATTTCTTGTGTAGTGAATTTGTGCTAGAATAAAACTGGCCTTGCCTTGCCTATGAGATGCTTGCCTAATGTTATTTTGGTGCAAGGCCAAACATGGGAGTGACATGTGCTGAGCTGTTTAAAATCTATGCTCTGAGCCACAGGAACGCAGTGCAGAGAAACGGAGGACCGGACTTATATTGGTCTTCTTCCTGGTTCCTGTCAGGACTTAGCGGTTGCATTTTGGATGTACTGCAGCTGCTTACAGGTCTGTTTGGACAGCATGTTAAGCAGGCCATTGCAGTAGTTAGCCTGCTGGAGACTAAATGCAATGGACAAGAAATCTCAAGTCTGCTTTAGACAGATATTTCTAACTTTGGCAATGTTCTTTCAGTTGGTAAAAAGCTGTTGAATGTTATTGATTTTATGGGGCTATTGATATTTAGGTATGGTCGTATTACCCCAAATTCTGACCTGGTCTGAAGGAATTAGGGAGAGTAGGACTGAAGTGACAAATGGACGACCTATCTTTGTTTCGGGGGACCAAAGACAATGATTCGGTCTGTCTGCATTTAGCGGAAGGAAATTATTTTGCATCAGTCACTGAATCTGTTGGATACAGTGAAGAGCTATATCAGAGGTCCATGTTATCCGCAGTCAGTGAGACATAGATCTGTGTGTCGTCGGCGTAATTGTGGTAGGACACTTTGTTTCTTTGTATTTAACTGACCTAACTGCAGCATGTAGAGAATAAATAGGAGAAGGTCCCAGGTTCGACCCACTGTGGGTATCCACAGGTCTGGGCCTCATGATCCGAGACGCTGTCTCCAATCTCCTACAAAGTCTTACTTTCCTCCAGGTAAGACCTAATCAGTCTTGGGCTGTGACAGTGTTACAATCCCGTCTTCCAGTTCTCTGCATGAGGATATCATGGTCGACAGTGTTCGAAACGGGCACTAAAATCTAAACAGACTAAAACTGTGACTTTACCTGCATCTGTGTGAAGTCGAATGCGTTTGTACCTTCACTTGTAGCGGTTCAGTGCCTGTTGGTGAGGTCTAAACCAGACTGGAACTATCAAAAGACTTATTCTTTGTTTAAAAAATTCAGTAAGTTGTTGGGAGGCCACTTTTTCAAGAATTTTTCCAGATGGTTGGCAGATTCGATATGGGGCGATAATTTGAAGTCCCGCCAGGATCCAGACTGCTCTTTTTTAGGAGAGGTCTTATGTGCTGTTTTTATCTCGGGCCATAGGAAAAGTCCTGACGTCAGAGACATGTTTTAATATTTGGTGTGTCAGTGAAGGTAACAAATGC